GTATGTATGTATGTATGTATGTATGTAATGTATGTATGTATGTATGTATGTATGTATGTATGTATGTATGTATGTATGTATGTATGTATGTATGTATGTATGTATGTATGTATGTATGTATGTATGTATGTATGTATGTATGTATGTATGTATGTATGTATGTAATGTAATGTATGTAATGTATGTATGTATGTATGTATGTATGTATGTATGTATGTATGTATGTATGTATGTATGTATGTATGTATGTATGTATGTATGTATGTAATGTAATGTAATGTAATGTAATGTAATGTAATGTAATGTAATGTAATGTAATGTAATGTAATGTAATGTAATGTAATGTATGTATGTAATGTAATGTAAAATGAGTACAAAAGTTGCATCTGGCCACAAATTGGGGGGGGCTATCTTCGTTGCTCACCCGCCCGACGCCCGTCTTCCGATCGCGCCTGGAGTGCTCGAGGTGGCCAACCGTGGCCGGTACCTGGCGCTCAACGAGCCTTTGCCCAGCACGGACAACCGGCTGCCCATGGCCGGCAGCTTTGGGGACTCGGCCCCAGCGGCGGAGGCGGCCGGGGGGTGAGGCTCTTGGGGTTGTAGGCGCTGGGGATGGGGATGCAATCTCTGGAAGGTTTACACCCCAGATTCACTCACAGAGAGTATGTGCTTGTATTTACATTGGATCAACACCCCTTGGGGGGTTCGTCGAGTGCTTTCAGGGATAAGGGAAGCATGAGCTGACCCCACTCTCTGGCACAAGCGCTTGAAGACGATTCACATGATGAGGTTTGATGATGGCTCAAAGGTTGCGCCCGCAGGAATTCTGCCCGGGTAGAGGGGCCTCAGCCTGGGACGGCACGGGTTGACTCAAAGAAGCTGACCGCAAAACCTTGGGTGCCGGTGTTTTTGTTGATACCACTGCCCTGCTTGACCTAACTGTTTGGCCCTTTGGGCTCCTTCATTTGTTCTTTTTTGACGAGGAAACGGTGGTTTGTGTGGGCGGTGGAAGTCTGTCTGACCAAGTCAAACACAGACGTACGCTAGGATTCATGCCGACAGTGATGTATTCCATTGTGCCAAGGGTCTTAAAGTCAAAAAGCCTCATTAACGCTGAGCTGTAGTGTCACTGCCAAACTGTTTGGCTTTTTGGGTTCTGTCATTTCTTCCCTTCTGACGAGCAAGACTGATGGTTTTTTGTAGTGGGCTCGCCGACCTTTCTGAGCCTTCCTCCAACATGGTGGTTTCTGTGGTAGACGTGGGATACATTTTACATTTTACCAGTGACTCAAAGGGAAGCAAACAATAGAATATACATCCTTTAACTGGGCCCAAGTCTAATCATAATTGTTGCCGGTCCTGTTTTCCAGCTACGGCGAAGGTGAACCTTCAGAGCTTGGTCTTCCGAGTGGAGGGCCAGCAGATGCAGGCGCTGGATGAGCGGGCCGCACAGGAGCCCGCGTTCCAGCCTCGTTCCCGCGAGCACGACATGGGAGTCCGGTGGGTGTGGCTCAAAATTTGAGATCTAGTTACGCAGGTTGTAGTCTTTGGTTTCATTTACCAAGGTGCGATTTTGGTACAGTTTTTGAGCCACAGCCAGGTTAGGATTTGGGTGTGTGTTTTTCGGGGAAAGTGCGGGCCACTCTGCAAACATGGTTTCCCTCTTCGGCTTTCCACCAGTTCCATTTTTGGTTCGGGTTGGTGGTTTGGATGTGGATTTGAACCCCCGGTTCTTGAGGGTGAGTGTGAAACAACCCAAAAGCTGACCTCTGGTCCAACATGGATGTACCAGGAACCCCCTGGTGGGTTCTATGTTAGAGGACGGAGGGTATCTGGGAAAGGGGACTTTTTGCTACTGGAAACGCGTGCTTTGCCAGAATCTAGGGTTGATGGCTGGTGCATTCGGGTTCAGCAACTACTTTCTTAAAGACCCGCCGTCTGACAGGGTTGTCTGATTTGGAAAGAAGGATTCCAACAAAGAATGCGAAGAAGTTTCCAAGGCTTGTTGGAGGCTGTTGAATCATTACGATCATGGGGAGTGTCTTTTTGATCCTACTGCCTTTCTTGGGGTTCAAAAAAGAAACCAGCAGGAAAAAGCACAGTTTTTGGGGGTACATTTGTGGGTCATTTGATTTCTGTTACCTCTCTCCTAGGTTCCTAGATTTCCTGCGGGTGGCCTGTTCCATCCCTTTCTTCTTGTGAGTTAGTACCCCTTTTGGTGTGGGTTTAAAGGGAATTCCTATTTGAAGACACCTTTCTTTTTCCTTGGGGCGTCCCTTCAACGTCACGCAACATCGTTTGACCGAACCAGTGGCCCTGGACCCAAACGCCGACACAGGGAGGCTGTCTTTCGTAAGGCGGCCATCTTGATCCGAAGTCCATCCAGTGCTTATCTTTGGGCTGCTCTTTGAGCAGGAGATGTTGCAGCCAGGGACTCAGGAAAGGGTAGCAGATGTCCCTTGAAACAAGCCGAAAGACACGGTAGCCGTAGAAATCACACACTCACAGATGATACCGCGAAGCATGGGAAAACAACAAGGCACAGCCGTATCCAGGGATTCGCTCCCATATATCCTGACCAGGCTAATTGGAGTTTTCCTGAACATTCGAATTTGATTTTTCCAAGCACACACCCTGGGCGTTTCCCAGTACCCTCAGAGAGGTCCCAAAGTCAAGTTTGCTCCTCAGAATAAGCCTTTGGCAAACAATGGTCAACCCCTTAAAGACGTGGCTCCCCTTTTTCTGCCAGGGTCCTGGTTGCACTTAGGCACCTGGCTGTGGCTCAAATTCAAGAGCTAGGGCTACGTAGGCTTTAGTCTTTCGTTCCATTTGCCAAGGTTTTGAGCCACAGCCACCTAAGGAATCCTCCCAAACTGGAAAGCGACGGACATGTGTCCGACAGGACCGCGACGTGCTGCACATCTTCGGGTCCGCGGTCAGAAGCCAAGCCAAAACGAGTCGCATGGGGAGACGTAACTCTGCGGGAATTACTTACTGGTGCGATAGGTAGGGAATGAGTTGGAATGAATCCTGCCTTCCCCTTAAAGGAAACCATAGGATGCATGGTATATAGGGGATATTCCATTTCTCACTCACTGCTGAGCACCAGCAAGATTAGGACCAAATCCACTTACCGCTATAGCAGGTACTGAGGAGAGCCGATGATGTAGGAAGGGATGATTAAATCAAGCTCACCCATGATGATGGTTAAGGCTTGGTACCACTTGAAGCGTTTGAATTTGCGCCTTCAATGTTGGTGAGATTTGTTGGTTTCGGGGGTTGGGTCAAGGTTTGGTAGCGTGCATACTGTTTGTGTAATAGGTGATTACATGCGAGGTCCTCAATACTGAACGTGCATTTGGTCAAGTCCGACGTCTTCAGCATCTTAGCCCTGTCCTCAAAAATGTAGGGCTTTGTCAAGGCCTGATTTGAAAGCGGGTATGGGTTAATGTTGACCCAGGATTAGTCAACCTGTCCCATTATCAGGGGGGAGTTCCTTCCAAAAGTGATGAATCCCCACTAAAAGGGACACCCCCCTATTAATCAACCAGGGGTTTATTAATGCGGGGTTAACATTACCCCTGATCAGATCCATTTAGCTTCCTGATTTCAGAATATTCAGGTTGGTGAGTTATAGCAGTTCATGCGGATAGATGGAACATGCGCCACGTCCGCGTTTACTCTCCAACATTAAGGGCCGATTACGGTCATGTTGTGTGAGCTGACAAGAGTCTCACAAATTTACAAGCTCCGCGGTGGGGTGAAGAAATCTGAGGTTTTGCCGAGAGTCTGGAAGGTGAATTTGCTGGGAGTCACAGCTTTGTCTCGTTCTGCTCACCCAGCAGGCAAATAAGAGGTATGAAACCAGTCTGAAACCAGTCTGATCAGTCAATTGGGTTATATTGGGGAGGGTCTCCATCCGGCCACTGTTATGCTTCTGCCATAGTTCCGATTGGTGGTTGGACAGTTTGCTTTTGGCGGCTGCACGTGCCGTTTTGGGGCGACTTTCGCGATTGGATGCGGCTTTCTTCCTTCGCGCCCAAATTTGGAGCCGTCGAGACTCTGAGAAATTTACTGTACTTGGCGGCCAAGCGAGAGTCTCATTTCTTGTTCAATAAAATTTAACACTCTGAGCGACCGTACTTCATTTTGTAAGGGTCAGCGGGAGACTCCATGTATGGCATGTGGTGATTTAGTATCTATTTTGATCGTTCAGGGCTGTGTTCATATTCTGAGTCGTCTCAGGTTGGCGAGTCATAATTCACGCAGACAGCTGGTACATGACTACACAACCCCTTGTTGTGTACCCCCCTCCTTATCCTTCACAAGAAGGTATCTCCCAATCATGTTTATCATCAGAAACCACGGAAGGGCACCCCGCCCCAGTGCATTCGTGAGGCCAAGACCATGCAATGCGTGTCCTTGGGAGACTTCGAGCACCGTCAAGACCGCAAGGTCGTGGGCACGGATTATGCCCGGAGCCTCAGGGTTTGCGGCACCCACCAGCCCCGCCCTTTGCGCAGCTTTGCCTCAGCTTGGCGCAGGAGTTTATATACTAGGTCCCCCAGATGTCCCCCAGTAGAGCCCTTGTATCCTTTTTTTGGGGAGGGTGCCCCTGCTGAAAAAAGGTACCCTTATTGGAACCTTTCTACTGGCGGACCTAGTATGCACGTGTTGGACCTTTTTTGCTGTATTCTGGTGGCCTAAGTTTGCCTCGTATTGGCATGTCGGCCTTAGTTTTGGCCTGACGATGCATGCCCGTTGCCTGTTTGTTCCATGTTGGCAAGCCATTTGGATGTGGACTTTAGTTGGGTCCTTTTCACCAGGGAGAGTCCACCATCCACCTGTCGCGAGACCCCAAAGGTCAGGGATTTCACCAGCCGCGCAATGTTTGGTTGATTTTGTGGTGGGTGTTTTGTTGGGTGTCTTGTTTGTTTTGTTGGGTGTTTGTGTTGGGTGTTTTGATTGTTTTGTTGGGTGTTTTGTTGGATGTTTTGTTGGGTTCCGGATGGTTGGCTCAATTTGGTGACATTTGAGACATATTTGCCCTTGGCTAAAATGATGACGATGGAAAATATTGAAATCCTAGGTTTGGCGTGGAACTGTATTGTTCGTTTTGCGCCCTTTTTTGTTCTTCTTCCGCGAGCAAAGAAAGGTGTCAATTTGGTTCGTTTGGCGAGGACTTTTCAATAGGGAACCCTTGACAATGGCTGGTGGGCATGTAGACTTTGTCCACCGTGAGGTCCTTAATTCAAGATTGCCTCCATTTGAAGTAACTGTAAGCGCTTCGCGCTCTTCTGGCCTTGGCCGGCATCAGCTGAAATATTTTGGTTGGCTTTGAAGTACTGTGTTTGGGCTTGCCTTCTAGGGGTAACTTCCCTATTCTTTCCAGGGATCCTTCTTTCTAGAAAACCACCAAAGATCCTGAAGAAATGGCTGGTTTTTGAAAAGAACGATATGGGGAATCAACCCCTAGATGCCTTGGTGCTAGACGGAGAGTCCTTGTCTGGGGCTTGGGCGGGGTTGTGGGCACTGCTCACACTTCTGCATGGGGGGCCGCTTGAAAATGGGTGTGGCTCAAAATTAAACAGGAGGGGTTACGCAGGTTTTGGTCCATGTTTCCACTTACCAGGGTTCCATGTTCAGTACCGGTTTTTGAGCCACAGCCAAATGAGTGGTTTCTCTTAACCGAGATTCCTTTTGGAAGGGGACCTCAGCTTAGGAAACACACTTTGCTGCTTTTTCGGCGAGAGGTGTCAATGTCAAGTACCCTCCCACCGGGTAACATGGTTTGGTGCACAGACCCAACTTTCGTCTTGAAAAGGGGCTGTGTGCAATTCCATGTTAGTTGGTGGGAGGGTACTTGCAACATACAGCAAACAACAAGAAGCGCCAGCTGTGCGGTTTTTTCACAATTCGTTCTGAAAGGACATCTCCGCGACCTGCGAATGATTTTGATGTTGGTGGCACCTGAAGCAAGTGGAAGACAATGCTTGTAAAAGGATCCCATGGGGTTGCTGGTCTGGAGGGAGACAAAAGCAGTTTTGCGGGGCCCTGTGTTTTTTTGAGGAAACGCTCAAAGCGGTATGCCAACTATACGTCTTGGATGTCGCTAAAGGCCCATACTTGGTGAATGGATATGTGAGAACTGTTTGAACCCCCAGTTCCTCTTGATGCCAATTTGGAAGCCACCCCCTGATCGAACAACTCCAAGACACCAGCGCAAACCAGAAACTAATCAAGGTGAACAGATAGCCTGTCGAAAACGGAAACAAATTGCCTTGCGCCCCTAAACAGGGAAGCCAAAAGTTTGCTTTCCAAAATTTGGAATGACCCTGAAATCTCCTTAAAGGAAACCACCATAAGAAACCGCCAGTTGGATGGTTTCTTGATTTATCTTAGGGTCATGAGCCATGTCTCATTCCCTGCCGGACTCTCGCTCCGATCGCAAGTCATACTGTGGATGGACGAAATCCATTTCGCACCACTTTGAAACCACGGGGAAACCATTGTTTGTCTAGGTCCCCCAGTAGTGCCCTTTTACCCTTTTTGGGGGAGGGTTCCCCTACCAAAATAGACTACAAAAAAAACTGAGTACAAACTTATTCTAACCTCTCAAATCTGGAGGACCTAGTTGTTGGTATTTACAGGCCAATCATTCTCAGGTTTTGTCTTTTTGCCATCTTTGGTGGAAAAATGATCGACCCCCTAGTGAAGGATTTACTTGTTGAAGGGGTCGCCAATTTTCTCACAAAAGGTGGCAAAAAGACCCGATCCCCTGGTGGTGCGAAGACCCCTAAGAAACCCTGGTGGTGGTGGTGGTGACCATTTTCTGATCATCTAGGTCCCCCAGTAGTGCCCTTTTACCCTTTTTTGGGGGAGGGTTCCCCTACCAAAATAGGCTACCGAAAAAAGAAACGGTACCCTTATTCTAACCTCTCAAATCTGGAGGACCTAGTTGTTGGTATTTACAGGCCAATCATTCTCAGGTTTTGTCTTTTTTGCCATCCTTGGTGGAAAAATGATCGACCCCCTAGTGAAGGATTTACTTGTTGAAGGGGTCGCCGATTTTCTCACAAAAGGTGGCAAAAAGACCCGATCCCCTGGTGGTGCGAAGACCCCTAAGAAACCCTGGTGGTGGTGGTGGTGACCATTTTCTGATCATCTAGGTCCCCCAGTAGTGCCCTTTTACCCTTTTTTGGGGGAGGGTTCCACCAAAATAGACTACCAAAAAAAGAAACGGTACCCTTATTCTAACCTCTCAAATCTGGAGGACCTAGTCATTATCCCAGGGTTTCTTAGGTGCGAAATGGATTGATTTCGCCACCGCTCCGCTCCGCTCCGCGAGGTCATCAGCATGTGGGACGGCGAGAACGGGGGGCTGCCGGAAATCGGGCTGTGCGACCGAGTCTACGAAGCCCGGCACAGTCCTAGCTGGAATCCGGCGATGTTTTGTGTGGGTTTTATTTATTTAGTTAGTTATTCATTTTATGTGTGTTTTTTTTTTGGGGGGGGGGTTCTTTGTTTTTTTTCTCTTTGGCCGGGGGGGGGGGGGGGCGGTGATTTGTTTTTTTGGTTGGGGGGGGGGGGGCAGTGAGGGATGGATAATTTGGAACATGTTTTGGGAAGGATCATGTTCAGCGATGCAAGGCCCTTTCAGCACAAACACCCTTCAGCATTCCGAGGCTACTTTCCGAGGATGGATTAAAAAAACAGCCTTTTGGTTGCCCATTTCAAGTTGGTGCCCATTTGGCTGGACATCTAACCCTGAAGCTCAGTCCGGAGGTCGCCAAGGGTGGGGTAAGATGTGTTATTATATTCAAACGTTTCATGCAATGGCGATCTCGAAAAGACCTCAGCGGTGAAGGTTCCGATCAGTCGGTGAATCGTTTCGTTGTCCCTTACGAATCCTCTATGGACAGGGGTTGCGCTGGGCATTCATTTGGGCTTTCTTTGTTCTGATCTGAGGGCGGTACGAACCCGTGTTGACCTCTTGTTGGCCGACTTGTGTGAAGCGTTGAAAAGGCGCGCTGCTTACTTGGTTTGCCGACAAGCCAGACTCAAAAAGGGCCGCCCAAGACTCGACAAGTTGCAATCAAGAGAAGGAGATGAGGTGAACCGTTTCAGCGGCTTTTGGTAGGGACACCTGCCGAAACATTGACAGGGCCTGACATAGTTGCCTTTCACCTAGTGCTTGTTGAGCCCAAGCCGAGTGTGTGTGGTTGAGGTCCCTAAGGTGTAGAATCCCTTTTTAGGGCAGTCCAAATGGCGTTGATCAGCCAGTAAGCGGAAAAGGTAAAGCGTCTCCAAACCCCAAAAGGGGTAAGGGAAAGTAGGGGGTATCGGACTGCCTTCAAGAAGCATGTCCAGTTGAAACAGGCAAACACAACATCTTGTTCACCCCCCCAACAAAAAGTCTCTGGCAAACAAATGGTTAATCACTGGCAAGGGAAACAATTTTTGAGTCGAGGATCCGGATGACCTCGCCCCAGAGGAGCCGCTTGGCGACGGTTAATGGGGCGGTTTGGAGCCATGTTGGATGAAGCCGGTTGGACCAAATTTGAGGTTCGGCTTACAGGGAAGTCCCAAAGGGAAATCCACGCATTTTCTGTTTTGTGCCGCCCGATGGTTTGACAAATATACTTTTGTATGCTGAAGCGCTTCATAGATCCGTTGGAACTCCGCGAGGCAATGGATCGCAGACTTCTTTGAGCCCATCAGGAAGAAGTACTTCACCAAGCTGGGGATGCCGCCCGCGGCACCTCGCCTCGCCTCGACTAAGCTCTGTGGCTTTGGGACATGTTTCATGCGGATTGAAAGACATGAGTCAACCACGGAGCCCGAGCCGCAAGCGTGAATAAGCCATTGATGAGGGTTGGGGACCAACCAACTTCAGACCCCCAATCTAATGTTTGACCATGTTAGGCCTCACTGGGCTTCGTTTGGATATCCGGGCAACTTACTTGGTCTTGTTGGCAACTTTGGAAGCTGTCACGGATCTTGGGATCAACAAAGCAGGAACTGGCAGGGACCCTTGAAAGGTCAGGGGGCCAGGGGAAAACAAGAAAACAATGGGGGACCACATGGGACCACTATGAATCCACCAAGTCCTTTTAATCGGGGTTCAACATGAGTTGCTTCCCAGAGGCAGTAGACCATTGAGCCGGGGAATTCTTCATATGGGTATGGGTCAAAATTAAGCCAGCAGGGGGGCGCAAGTTTTAGTCCATGTTTCCATTTGCCAGGGATCCATTTTGGGTACCTTTTTTTGAGCCACACCCATATTCCCTAGGTACCCTCCCACCAACTAACGAGCAAGTGCACGTCTTTCTACGGGGGTCTGTGCACTTCCATGTTCGTCAGGAGGGTACGCCAGGAGCATGCCATTTTTCTTGACAGGACGTGCCTTTCTACCTGCCGGAGCAGACGGTGCCGGAGGACGCCCACATGGTGCTGTTGGCCGGTGGCCATCCCAAGAAGACCTCGGTGATCTGGCGCCCCGGAAAAAGTTCCGTCAGACTCGACTCGCAAGGTGCGGAACACCTCGCTTGGTCAAAGCGAATCGACCTGAAGTGACCTTTTGGTTTATCATTTTGGCAACCATTTTTGGAGGTGCCAAAATTTCAACCCTGTATTTCTGGGTCCTTTGGGCGACTGAGTAGAACCGTGGTCTCAAGACGACAACCACTGCATGAGCCTTCAAAGAATCAACTCACTTCCGATAGAGTTCCAGTGTCCTGTTCTTTTAGTGGCACGTAACAAGTTCAGTTACTTGTTTTGGCCAATCCACTCAGTCAATCAACAAATACACACAAACCACAAGAGTCGAAGATTGGCTCTGTTTCGTTTACCAGGGTGAGCCACACCCTTCACGTTTTATTGACGCGCCCATGTCCGCCCCCTGAGCAGCTTGGGTTAAGCGGATAAGTCATGGGTTGTTTGCCCAGTGCTACTAGTCGCTTACTAACTTAAGTTGCCTACCGCCTACTTGAGTAAGCTGGGAAGATACTGGTTTCATCGAAGTCTCCAAATGAGTCGAGTGGACTCTCAGCTGTTGGCAACTGAACTCGAAACTATCGAAAGCAGGAAGTCCCATAGGAAGCCGGCACAGATCCAGGTGACTTGATGCTCCAATTGTCTGTAGAATTTCCTGTAGCTGGTGATCAAAGAAGCGTTTTTGATATGGGGGGGTCGACCTCCCTTGCCCTTTCTGGCACAATGCCCATGGTTTGTTTGGTTGGGTGTAGCCAGGGGGCAGAGGCGTCCCAGTTGGTTTCGTTAGTCTAAAGCTTGCGCTACTATTTTCTGAAAAGAGGGATTCGTAGAAATGAAGGAGGAAGTACACTTTTTGGACACTTTCCTAGGCTTTGAGATGCATATTTAAAATGTTGCATGGTCAGAGACCCGTTGGGGTTTGAAGGAATTCGACCGACCCCGAGGCAATCAGAAGCTTGATCAATTGGACGCAACATCGGAGAGTGGGCTCCGCAAGTCTCTACAACATGTTGTTCATCAATACATCGTCCTGTTTTCAGAACACTTGAGAGCCAAGGAAAAAATGATGAGGGTTCCTTTGAACTCTTTTCCTGGGCTTGAGGGTGGAGCGTCTTCATTTTTTCCTCAAGCTCGGGCTCCCGGGCTCGGGGCATTGGAGCCGAGGAAAGAGGTCGTCATCTACAAGGAGACGAGGGCTTCGCTGGGAAAGCGGGAGATGTGTTTAGAGCTTTTGCAAAAACGGGCGACGAAAATTGCGCTCAAAAGGCGAACCTAAGATCAACATTGCCTTAGTCAGTGGACCGGTGGTTCCCCGTGGAGTGCGGTTTGTGTTCATTTTGGGGTCCAGAATTCTGCGCATGCCAAAATTGACATCATGGTTCCGAGCATGAGTTGGTTTGGCAATGAAGTTGGGGTTGAAGGGATTCGGGATTGGGGGGTGTTGAACAAATTTATCGTAGGATATCCTGGACCTCCTTGGATGGACACCCTAGCCTCATCCCGGTGCATAGTTTGATTCCCCACCAGAAAAAGTAAACCCAAAATGTAGTCCTTTTTTCTAGCAGGGTCAAAGCAAGACTGCAGATCTGGCATGGGTTCATGACCATCGGTTTCTCTGATGTGTTTTTTTGATAAGTCACACCCTGCGATCACAACTGTAAAACGTTACCACGTTGCGAAGCACTATTCTTATTGAAAGCCCATGTTGATGTCCCTGGGAATACACTGGGTATTGACCCCATGTTTTGCACGTTTCCGGATAAACCCGTGTTGTTTTGAACCATTCTGGGTCATTTCCCAAGGGTGTTTTTTTTTTTTTTTTTTTCCCAGGGTGTAATACAAAAAGCCTCAGAGTCTCAGAGTTGTCCTTTTTCCCCTGGATAAAAAAAACGCCGGGGCACTGAGTTACAACCAAAGCTCGAGGCTCGCGCCATCGAAGACGAAAAACAGATGCAGGGCTTGAAGGGATTTCCTGCAAGCAACCCTGTGAGTCAGCTTTGAAATTGCCGCATTTACTTCATGGAGCGTTTTATGCACATGGCTTTTTTGGTTAGCTCGTGGCAGGGCACTGGGTTTGCCGAAGTAGGCAGCCAACTGGCGTGTCTATGTGCGTGGTTTCACTTTGGTACATATGGCTGCACATGATGTTGTTGTTTGTTTTTGTTGTTTCTTCCGTTGTTTGTTTTTTTGAATCCGAAGGAAAACAAGGAAAACAACGATACGGGCAGGGGCAGCCCGAAGAAGCGATACCCCAAAACCTGAAAAAAGACGCTGCAAAGCAATCTGCGACATCCTGTCACGGGAATGAATACACAGACAAGCAATTTGCCGAGCTCGCCTGGGCTTCCCCATGACGATGGTTCCGTATCTGGGGTCCTTGTGTTTGGCAACTGAGTTGTTGTGGCAAGTTGCCCAATACCAAACCAATACCAAAACTATGGGGGGCCGATGGATCAGGGACACGTTTTTACATTTTTTCTGAAGACCCCTGGCGGAGCCAGGCGTTTGGGTACTTTGGCAATTTGGCAAACCATTTAGCACGTTAAGGCCATTCACCCGGAGGTTGCAGGGTCCCTGAAGTCTTGAAACAGGGAATCCCTAGGGGAGGTGCCCTATAAGTCGACTTGAAGCACCTCAACAGTAGGCTCCTCCGGTTATGGACCTCCTCACTGGGTTTTTGCTTCGCCTGCAGGACTTTGGTGCCTGCCACGTCTTCGGCATCGAGGCCTGCGGACGGAGAAAGTACCGCACCCTTGAGATGTCGCCCGGCAGCATCAGCTGCTTGTTTACCTTGCTCGCTTGTTTGTTTTGCTTGCTTGCTTGCTTGCTTGCTTGCTTGCTTGCTTGCTTGCTTGCTTGCTTGCTTGCTTGCTTGCTTGCTTGTTTGTTTTGCTTGCTTGCTTGCTTGCTTGCTTGCTTGCTTGTTTGTTTTGCTTGCTTGCTTGCTTGCTTGCTTGCTTGCTTGCTTGCTTGCTTGCTTGCTTGCTTGCTTGCTTGCTTGCTTGCTTGCTTGCTTGCTTGCTTGCTTGCTTGCTTGCTTGCTTGCTTGCTTGCTTGCTTGCTTGCTTGCTTGCTTGCTTGCTTGCTTGCTTGCTTGCTTGCTTGCTTGCTTGCTTGCTTGCTTGCTTGCTTGCTTGCTTGCTTGCTTGCTTGCTTGCTTGCTTGCTTGCTTGCTTGTTTGGTTTGGTTTGGTTTGGTTTGGTTTGGTTTGGTTTGGTTTGGTTTGGTTTGTGCGAGTTGTTTGTTTGTATGTATGGTTGTTCGTTTGGTTGATTGGGTGCGTGGGTGGGTGGGTGGCTCGGTGGTCCAGTGGTTAGGTTGGTGGGTGGGTGGGTAGTCCTAAAAGCCCCAGAAGCCAATAAGACTGCCTTTCTACATCATTCAAGAATACATCCTGGGCCTGCGAAATTCCCTTCCTCTTTCTTTGCCCAGTTGCCCAGTGGATTCCGCCCCCTTTTTTCAACTTTTTTAGGGGAAGGGAAACCCCCTTTAAACTCAACAAACCAAACACACAAATGCCGATTCTTCTTTTTGCATGGCCATCGGGCATCGGGGGGGGCTTCCCTTTAAGATGATCCAAAAGACACGAAGCATATTTTCCCAGGGTGGCGGGAGGTCACGGTTTGCCAACCTCAGCGATGCAAGCACCGTCTTGAATTTGGGGCTCGCGCGAATCAGCATGAACCTTGGTGACCCTTACGCGGAAAACCATGTCGTGCAAAGCCTACATCATGAAGTAGTTTGGTGTCACAGCACCCCACATCTCCTGTTCTAATTTTGTTTCCTGCCTTAACTTGTTGTAGCTGTTAATTTCCCGACAAACCCTGTATTTGGCATGTTTGTTCGGTTTTGCTCTGTGTTTTAGTTTTCTGGCCGATGGTCGCATTTGGGCTCCGGGCTGTTTTTTTGTTCCCTCCCCCCAGGTTTGGCTTTTCTGCGTGGTGGTAGGCTGTCCACCCTAAACCAGGCCAAAGAATAATCCGAGATCAACCCAAGCCCGCCTCAAACCTATACCCAGCCTATCCCGAAGAATTCCCAAACCAACCCTGAACCCACCCCAAACAAATCTCAAGCTAACCCGACATAAGCCAACCTTAAACCCAACCCTAAGCCAAACATACACCCACTCTTCACCACCCTAAGCCAACCCTGATTCAACCAAACCCACCCCAACAACCCCTTAACTTCACTCACTCACTTACTCACTCTCACACTCACTCTCACACTCACTCTCACTCTCGCTCACACTCACACTCACTCTCACTCTTACTCTCACTCTCACTCACACTCACACACACACACACACACTCATACTCACACTCACACTCACACTTATACTATACTTATACTTACACTCACACTTACTCTCACTCTCACTCTCACTCTCTCACTCACTCTCTCACTCACTCCCTCACTCACCAACACCCAAACTAACCCTAAACCCATCCTAAATCACCCTAAATCCGCCCTAAACCAACCCTAAACCTAAACCAATCCTGAACCGACCTTGAAACCAAAACACCTTCAAATCAACGCTGAACCCACTCTGAAAACACCCGAACCGCCCACTGCAAAGCTAAACCAACAACATATACCCACTCGAAACCCTCCCGGAGCCAACCCCAAAGCCACCCTAAAGCCACCCCCACTCCACTGATTTTGTTGCGTTTTGGAAGCAGGTGTGCTTCACAAAGTGAGCCCTTTGTGGGCTCTGTTGCATTTTGGAAGCAAGCCTTTGGCCTCCTCAAGAAAGTGAACTTTCTGCGAATTGCATTGTGTTTGGGAAGCAGGTTTGCTTCAAACAGGTGAACCCATGTGGACCCTCTTTGTTTAGGAGATACCTTCCTTCAAAAGGGGACCCTCGTCAGGAGTCGCGCCGAACCTAGTGAAAAGAAACAAAAGAACCGATTAAGGCCCTTGCGCCGGCGTATTTGGCGGTACCCTCGCATTGGTTCCACCAACAAGTTGTTAAAAACGGGGCCGAAGCAGAAAGAGTATGGCCTCATGGCCTCATGGTGCACGTGTGTCCAGGTAGCGCTTGAAGCTCGATCCGAAATCCCATCCAAAACATCCGAAAGATCCAAAAGGTCGAGCAGCCGAACCACTCCATGCACCATGTATCATGTACCCACATTGATCCAAGTGGGTAAGTTGTGTCACATGTGCCCAACACCTTCACGGAGCCTGCCCAGCCCCCCCCCCCCTTTGCAGAGCACCTGAAGACTTATACTCTTGGTAATATCGTGAACACGCCATATTCGGGGAAAGCACGGCCAGGTCAAACAAGGTCTTGACGGTTGGGGGCATGCGTGGAGTGGGGACTCGAGCAGACCTCGCTCAGGGCAACGGACTGTCGGTTCTGCCATTGGGAGCTGCAACCGGCGCCTTGTCGCGAGAGACTGCGTTGGTCCGTTCCAAGCTTTACTAGGTCCCCCAGCTGGGTGCCCTTCTCTGCCCCTTTTTGGACTACAGAATAAAGGGTACCCTTATTCTAACCTCTCTACTGTTAGAAGCTAGTTTACCCAGACCACTGGGCGGGTGCTTGTGATCCGCCGGGAATTATAGGTATGCCACGAGGAGTGCAACCCAACCTGCCCCCAGTAGTGCCCTTTCTCAGCTTTTTTGGCTGGGAGGGCTGCCCCACTAAAATAGACTACAGACAACAATCGGGTAGCAACTTATTCGAACCTCGCTACTGGAGGACCCAGTGTTTACCCAGACTGGACTGGGCGCCTTAGGCGTGTGGTCCTTGGGCTTTCCCAATGTGAACTGCCAAACCAAGGCTCGTGGGAGAGATGGCCCCTGCGAGCTCCAGTTGAAGTTCCATTTGTCTAAGACCGGAAATATGGAATTGGGGGGGCATGGGCCCCCTCCTGAAAATTTGCTTAACTCCCTTGACTAAAGTCTCCTAAGAAATATGGAATTGGGGGCGTGGACCCCCTCCTGAAAATACTCCTGAAATTAAAGTCCCTTGAGAAAGTCTTTGGAGTTTTCAACTAGAAACCCTCTCGCCAAGGAGCCAGCTGTCCCCGCAAAGAAGTGTGGCTTTCTAGAACCCGTGAATAGCGGATTTTGCTCGTGACTCACCTGTTTACCAATGGCGGACAGCTTCTTTGGCGGCTTAAACCGTGCAGAAAATGGTTGAACAGAAAATGTGAAGCACCCAAAACTTCCATTGGCCTTTTTAGGCGCTTCTACGGCTTCGTTTGATTGGGGTTATAGTTGTAGTACAGCCCATAATATATATATATATATATGATGTAACGCCCCGGTATGTAAAGATGAATTAGGTTTGAGTTCCGCCAGATTTCGGCTTGCGGGCTATGGCCACTGGCCACTCCTCCGAAGGAGTGTGCCAGTGCGACTTGTGCCTGACCCTTAGCAGGGTCAGGGACCTGTGCCGAGGGTCTAGCTCCTACTTTTTCTGGAGCCGGGCCCTCGAGCGTGTGAGGTTGCTGCAGGGGGAAATCCTGGACCTTCGGGGTCGGGATCACTGGTTGTCAACCCAGCCCCCTGCAGCAACCCCTCCTGGGACGGGAGGGGTAGGAGGTGCTCCTTCAGCTCGAGCTCCTGAGAAAAACCGGGGGACCTGGCAGTCCCCCCGGCCTCCGACACAGGTTCAGCGGCAGAGGCTGCTGGGGCCAAAGAGGCCGGTGAGGAGAGAGTGAAGGAGAAGAAGAAGAGGAAGAAAGAGGAAAAGAGGGAGAAGGAGGTCTAGGTCATCGAGGGGGAAACGTGAGGAGAGCGTAGAGGTCACCAGGAGTCCGGGAGGAAAGGAATCGAAAAGAGGAAGGGAAGAGTTTCCGTGGCACCAGGTTGGAGGGTCTGTGGGGGTCAAGGAGGAGCCCGCCGCGAGCGAGGACGAAGAGGAGCGCCCAAGGGAAGCCAGACATCGGACCCCCACCTCTCCGGTGTCATCAAGCAAGGAGGATAAAGCGAGGAGGCATAGGAGCACTTCGAGTGAGGGGCACCAGGCGGCTTATTGCAAAGAGCAAGGAGGCCACTGAGGAACGGGCTGAAGGTGAAGAGAGGAGAGAGGAGGCATCAGACAGCAGAGAGAAGGAGGAGATCAAGAGGGACCTCAGCCGGTCCCCTTTGCGGAGGCTCCCGGGGGGCTTCATCGAGGACCTGCTGATCCGGCCCCGAGAGGAGTACAGAGGTGAGGACAGGAGAGGAAAGAACAAAGGGCGTAAGAAAAGAGAGCAGCAGAGGAGGTTCAGAGAGCGCTTTGGTGGAGGAAAAGGAAAAGGTGGTGGAAAGCACTGGGGAGGCCGAGGAGATTGATGCCTCCGAAGGTGGGCGGCAGAAGAGGAGCTGCTAAGGCTAAAGCAGCTGCGAAGGGGAGAGCTAGAGCCCTTGCCCGGCTGCCGGTGGCTCCTCCTAGGGTCCGAAGGAGACCAGCTGGGGAGGAAGAGAGAGAGGATCCGGCCGTGTTGAGGAGGCCGGCTGGTAGACAGGTGGCTCCAGTTGAAGAGAGGTTTGAGAGAGGGGAGAGTGTGAACGTTGTGGAGTTGCCAAGACATTTGATCAGGCCAGGCCAGAGCTTGATCGTGGTTGAAGGCAACTACTGGGAAGCCCCCGTGACGCTATGTGGAACAGTCGTCGTGGAGGTTCGGCTGTTGGGCACGGAGAACGAGGACCTCCTGAAGTGGTCGACAGGGAACCCAGCGAGCCGATGCAAGCTGCACATGTGCGGGGACGGTTGCGTGGCAGGCCTATGCGAGGACGGGCTGGTCCACGTGAAGAAAGTCAAGCTTCGCCTCCCAGGCGCAGGGGAGGCGTGGCTGGACAACCTGGTGGGGCATGTGCCGTTTCAGGTGGACGACATGGCGGCCTTGAGAGAGAGGGGCAACGAGCTGGACAAGGAGGATTTGAAGGCTGGAAGAAAGAGCAAGAGGGTAAAGGAAAAGGAGACAGGAGGTATGGAGAAGAAGAGGGTGAGAAGCGAGTCAAGCTCTTCAACCAGCTCATCCAGCCGGAGGAGAAAGAAGAAGAAGAAAAAGAAAAAGAAGGCGAAGAGAGGAGTAAAGGTCGAAGCAACAAAGGAGCTGAGCGCCGTGTTTGGAAACACCGGGATGGACCCGGATGTCAAGGTGAGGAGACAGGTGGTGAGGAAGGTAAAGAAAAGCCTGAGGCTGCTGCAGAGACAGATGGACACCTCCGATCGGGAGTCTTCGAGAGAGAGTCGACAGAGGAGGAGGACGCGGGGGTGTTCGAGGAGGCGCAGAGGATCAGGAGAGTTGGAGTAAGAGGCCCAGGAGTTTTGGCAGCGGCGTCCATCAACGAGATGAAGAAGTCGTTGGTCGCGGCTTCAGGGCAGCTGTGGGGCCAAAACAGAGATTTGGCGCCGGTGGGAGTGCACTATTTCAGGACGGTGCTTCAGCTGAAACTCCATGGCGCGATGGCCCGAGAAGCGTTCACCCTGGCCTGGCCCAAGGGAGGGTCGCCGAGGCGATCGACCTGTTGCTGCAGCGCCTGAAATCGTTGGAGCAGGTCTCTCAGGGGATGCCGTGGCAGACTGCTCAGAAGATGGAGCTGTGCCCCTTGGAGACAGCTCAGGTAGCAACCCGGGCGGAGGCTGCGATCGCGATAAAGGAAGCCCGCGGAGAAGGTGCCTGGCAGAACCCTGGAAAAGGTGCTCCTGGGAGGGAGCAGCAACCGAAGGGTGGTTGGCGAGAGCCAGGAAAAGGACGAGACGGCAAAGGCAAGAGCAAGAAAGGCAAGGAGGAGAAGGGATCAAAAGGTGCGGAGAAGAAGTAAGTAAGGCAGGAGTCAGCCAAGAGGAGAAAGTGCCAGCCTGGAGATCTCCTAAGAATGGGAGAGGTGAGAACCGGACTATGACAGAGGAGGATGAGACCTTGGACCACAGCGTCCCTCGGAAGATGACAGACCGCAAATCAGGAGTGAATGGTGGAAGAATTGAGGTACTGCCGTGCATGATGGGAGCCAATAGCGCTCCTAGCCAGGAAATGTTGCCTCTGTCCTCGGGCCGACCCGAGGTAGAGGCGCAGAAGGGGGTAGGAGAGATGCTGGGGGGCCTTACTTTTGGTGAGGGAGCAGTTCATTTGGGAGCATCGCTGTTTCAATATTTATCTTCAAGCTGCATGACCAAGTCCATTGGCAACATCTTTCCCTTGCCATCAGCCTTTTGCTCCCTCAAGAAACTATTCCCGAACAAGAAGGACGAGGAGTTGAGCATTCTTCAGAACATGATTTGGTCATTGAATCATCTTAATGGCTCCCCAGTGTCTATGGTTGGAGATGGGACCCCCTGCCAACAGCGGCTTTTGGGGGGTCTCATGGATGAAGCGTGCGCCGCTGGTCGGTGGCTGGAAAAGGCGGAGTTCCTGGACTGGGGTGAGTTCTTCAGAGTCAAAGGGGTTGACTATCAAGGAGAAGAGGTCAAAGTTGCATGTGCGGTTTCTTGGGAGATGTTATCCCCTGCATTGCCCTCGGAAGTGGGGACGGTCGCCCTTTCTGACGTTTGTGATGCAGGGTGCAAACATTATGTTGAGAACTTCGAGAACTATCTTCTCCCGGTTGAGGACCAGGTGTTCACGAAAGGGCCAAAGGTCATGGTTCCTCCCGGGGATTGGGAGGAGCTCGCAACAAACCTGGTTCAACGAGGCATTTGCAAAGTTATTGAGGAGTCAGAGGTTTATCACGTTCAGGACAAGCCCTTGTTGAATGGTCTCTTCGGGGTTTCGAAGGGCGACTGGTCAGGCGAGATTGAGGTCCACCGGCTCATCATGAACTTGATACCCTTGAATCGTATTTGTCGGGGTATTGAGGGCGACATTGCTACTCTTCCTTCGTGGAGTTCCATGGGACCACTGTCGCTGGATATCGATGAGGACCTTCTCATTTCAAGCGAGGACGTGAGATGTTTCTTTTACATTTTTAATGTACCCGTTTCTTGGCATAGGTTCATGGCTTTCAACCGCCCTTTGCCTAAAAGCCTCTGTGAAGGGAAATCTGGTACATGTTACCTGGCGGCGACGGTTCTTCCTATGGGTTTCAAGAATTCTGTGAGCATTGCCCAACATGTACATCGGTATGTTTTGCGGCAGGGCTTGATGAACTCAGGTTGCCTAAATGGAGGGGATCAGGAGTTGAGGCGTGACAGGCCTTTTCCTTCTTCTAGCAACATGTTCCGTATTTATTTGGACAATTTTGACGAGCTCACAAAGGTGAACAAGGACCTAGCCGCCACGTTGAAGGGAGAGTTGACTCCTACTGTGTTGGCCCTTCAGGAGGCGTATGCACCCCAAGAAAGCTGTGGCCCTTCAATCTCAGGCAGAAGTACAGGGAGCTGTGGTTGACGGGGTGCGTGGCGTTGCCTATCCGAAGGTGGACAAGATCCTGAAGTATGTGGTTTTGG